GAGAATTGCCCCGCCCCTTGCTCCTAATTGTCTGGGAGGGGTGGGGGTTAAGCAGGCCACAACTCCACGGTACCCTGATCTGCTTAAGTGGTCCCCTTAGGCAACATTAATCAAGGGGTAGGTGGAATATGCAATGAAATTTAGCTTTGAATGAGTCATTCGTTGCTTCCATGCAATTGTGACAAATGAAAGACTCACAGTGACCAGTGGTTTTAATGTTCAGTAGTAGAGTACGAGTTTTGTGGCACACAACATGCCGTTCAGCGGTTCAAACGGCCCTGCCTTTCCAGAAAGTCGGTATGATGTATGCTACAAAACTTATACACTCTTGACGGATGAACAGCAAGCATGAATCTGAGTTTTCCGCATACAGACATGGCTAGGAATACATTCCTGTATGCAAAGCTTCAGCATGACAGCCGTATGTCAATTTTATGAGTCAACTTTATGAATTATGAGTTAATCATTAACCACCCTCTTCTCGATCATTCAGTTAGAGAGCATAATTCGTTCGGCGCATAATAACCATCCTCAGGACCGATGAATTGTTTGGACGGATGAATGGCATCCGTCGAAAATCGTCGTCCGTCGGTGGCAGTGTCCAGTTGACCTAACGCTCCGCGTTTGCACTGGCTCCTTAAGCTGGGTTTAAAGTACATGTTGCCCTTTCTTAGTGGTTAATCACGAAGCTATTGATATTCTAATCTGGCAGGCACAGGGTTCATAGTTTTATTATTTTGCTGTGCAAATCGGCAGTTAGATACGATCAACATGAAGATCCTCGCGTTCACTGTCCAAATTCGTCAGTCGCGATGTGCCGATCTGCCGAGTTCGTGTGACTACGGCTGGAAGACATTGGCAATGGTGTTTTTGTGATATCTGCCAAGGTAAAAAACTTTTACCCACTGTTGGGGACATTTCGGTGGCGTGCGTCATAGGCATACAAAACGTCTTGTCGACACTGTCTCATCAACAGGTGTTCGAAAACAAGAACAGCCGTTGGACGATAATTAATTTGTAGACGCGGTCCATGCGCTTAATTGTTGAAACGTCACTCACAATTTGCCTACTGCCTCGAATTATGAGGTGCACATGAAACGGGAGAAAAATTAATGCCTCAACAACCATTTCCGGTTACAACATGCCGCCGTTTCGTGTGAGTGAAAAAAAACGATCTAAATGCCGAAAATACCGACTCGATGACAAATGGCTACACTGACATACCGGACTGGATAGGAATCGCTTTTTCTACGTTCCAGGCGTTCGCTGATTCACGTTTCGACAGGCAAGGTAGAAGCGAAGAACCATACAGACAAGTTTTAAGCAAATTTTAATGAGTGCCGCAACTGTATACTCAAATTACCGGATATTGAAGGTCAAACGAAGATTTAATGCCAGGATATCGCCCTAAAGATGCAATCT